ATGGGTTTCTCGTGGTCTAGAAATAAAAATCTGGAGGTAAGTTATCCTTACAATTGTTAACTGTTAGAGCGACCAAGGCAGAAGGTAGTAAGAAATTATTCTGTTTGTATTCTAGCTTTATTTTTTGCTTTTGAGTATTTGTAACATAGCCTAACTGGAGCAAGAAGGCCCTGAATCTACTGGCATTCAGGTACAATAAACCTTGAGTCTTTATTCAAGTGATATAGTAAGACTGTGTCCTTAGCTCCAGTTGAAAAAGCAGGGTCTAGTCAGACAAAGCTGCACAAGCATGCCTGCTAAAATCAAGCTGAACTGGTCTTCATTTTTCCTTCCTCTGTGAAATTCAAGTGATAAACACTATCTGGTAAAGCACATGATAAGAAGATTACCCCATTTTCAGGAATGTCTGTATGTGTGATTTACTTTCCAGTCTCTGAAAACCTTTTACCCCAAATACCTTTGATTACAGGTGTCTAAATCCTGTTTTCAGCTCAATGTGTACTGAGCACTAGAGCAACACAATCAAGAAAACTTACTACACAAATATTGACAGGGTCCATGTGGATCAAGACTGCTTCCAGACAGGTAGCTTAGAGAGTGCATAAATCATTGCTCTTCACTCAGCTATGAAAGGATACTGCACGTTTCCTGTATAGTCATCCTGCTATGTTTCTTTCAGGCCAGAATGTGACACACAGCTGCAGAAGGCAGGGAAGGGAAATGATCCAATTTACCTGTGTGGCCTTGGAGCTGGCAGGACGAAACCCAAATAACCCATTAAAAAAATCAGTAATCTAGTTAGCACTAAGTACTTATTGATCGAAGTATGATTGCCCATTGCTACCCACAAAATGTTAAAATGCAATCTGAATGTGTTTAATTAGGAGAAAAACCCAAGGGGTATAATGGCATTCCATTTAAGCCAGAGATGCAGAACACCAGGCCCAGGAGGTGAATCTGGCTCTCTGGAGTTTCCAGATGGCCTCACCCCCATTCCCTGGTTCCATGTCCTTTCCCCGAAGCACTAATTGTTTGGTGGCTTCTCAGATCCTGTTCAATTTTTTCACAATTCAAAAATGTTGAAATGCCTCTCCTAAGGCTTTAGGAGCTTAATATTACAGTACGGAAATGGTGTTTTTTTGTGTTTCTGACCTCATTCTTTTTATCTTTGCTTTTAATCCTTGCCACCACTGGAATGTGGCCCAGGAGGTTCTCTGAAATTCAGTTCAGCCTGTGGGCTGAAAGATTCCCCATCCCTGATTTCAGCAGTTTTCCATTAAGAATCACATTGGTAGAAAAATGATTTGGCATGAATTAAAAGATAAATGGAAAACACTAATGAAGATATGAAATGTTGCCAACCATGAAGGCTATAGTCACTGTGAATAGGTTCGCCTGCCTGATATATCACTGCCCATGTCCAAACAACACTTTTAATAAAATAACATAAAATAGAATGAAGTATTCTATAGGGGCATCTATGTATACCTGCATAGATAGTGTTACTCTCCTACCCCTCTCAAAATAGTCAGGCTTCTTGCAATAAGAAAAAAGATGGAATAAACACTGGGAAATACAGGATTACAAATGGGATGATAATGTGATATGGACCTACTCATAAAACACAGGTGGACAAAACATGAAAATTCTTTACTAAATGCCTTGAGTTGAAGCAACCTAGAATGATAGAACATAACACAGAACATAGCAAGCAGCACTTGTCAGAAGATCCCGTGATCTATGTTCAACTGTCAAGGATACAGAAATGTGTGTCCCTTTGAGTTGTCATTATTTTCTTGCTATTTTCACAGCAAGAAAAAACTTGTTTTACATCAACAATAATTATTTCCTCCAGAAATGTTAGCAGTAGTATTTATTTTTGTATTTATTACTGTAGGATTAATGGCCTAATGATATTTAAATTGAAATAAACTCGAAGGCAGAAAATGTGAGTTCACTCACTCCAATTTAATTTATGCTGCGAATGTGACTAACACAGAACCCTGAGAAAAAGAATCAGTTGTTTAACTAGTAGTTCATTGAAACAATGGGGAACTCCAACACAACTGCTTCAATGTGGAGTGTTTCAGTTAACCAGCTATACCTGAATCCAAACCACCTCCTAAGTTTTTTTTTCCAGCATTGCATAGCCACTAAACATGCTCAGACTTCATGGAACTGTTCTGGGGTTGCTGAGGGGTTGGTTTAGTATTTGTCCTATTATATTTTACTTCCTAAAGATTTCTGGTAGTTCTGCAAACCTTGGGGATCCCAAGTTTTCATACAGTCAGGAAAAAGGATGTGGAATTCTTGGCAAGTACCTCGTAATTATGGAGAAATCTAAGCCAGATCCAGAAAAAACCCTGTAACATTTCTATAGTAGTGGAAATGTGGCAGGAAAGATTTTTTTCTTGTTGATGAAGAAACCAGGTTGACAAACCTTACCCTGACACAAGCAATTGACTAGCTGGAGCTAAATGTAGTTGGGAATGCGTCTGACTGCACAACCAAATGAAAGTAATGCTGTGTGGACGGTCAAAATCTACTTGTGAATATGCAGTGAATGAAATGGTTGCTGTGGTACAGCTAAACAGGGCGTATCAGCTAGATCGTCTAAGAAGCAAGAACGTATTCCTTTTTCCTTCTTCCCATTCAGTAATGGTAATTGGAAAGGTTTTGTTTGCTCTGACAGCACCCTGAACCAAACTCTATGCTCGGATGTTATCATATACAGGATGTGATCTCTAACAGATTCCAATCACCAAATGAAGAAACCTGATCCTGATTTTTTTAAAATCAGTGGTGCTAATACAGGTCTAAATCATAGGAATGATGGCTGTAGAGGAGCTGAAAGAGCTGAAGACAGGTTCCTTTTTCACTAACATTTTGTTACCCTTCCATCCTGAAACCTGAACCTGCCACGAAACAGCAAATAGCACTATTATAAAATGTTTAAAATGAATAGCAAAGTCACAGACAACTGTCTAATCATCCATGTATTTTTCTTGAAAAGAATAATATAAATTTACTCCGAGATAAGCCCTGCTGAATTCAGGGAGAATAAGTGTTTAGGCTTCTGAACAGTTTTACCAGATTTGATCCCACCATGCCATAGCTGTGTGCCAGAATTCCTGCTCCATGCCACATATTTCATACGCCCACTCCCTTACCAAAACCACCTTCTGTACTGTCCTCCCTTCCATCTGAATGTCAAACATAGTCTGTGTGCTTCTAGCACACATATACTCAAGGGAATTCCACTTTTACAGGGTACTTCATTTAATCATTTTTACAAATCCAGGCAAGTAACTCATTAAAGTGGACTTTGCTGTAACAGACCTCCACCAGCATATCTAGGAGGATAAAGTGAATTCTCAAATGCCCGAAGGAGTGACCTTTAGAGATGACAAGATCTGATTTTATTCAAAACCCATGTTTAAGGCTGATCCTTTAAAAGCTTGAGAGAAACAGAGTATCCAGCATGTAAATCAAGACAGACTTTTTGCCAGAAACAATGAAACTGAGAAGAAGCTAGTAAGACTGTGCTAACTGAAAAACAGTGCACTATTACCCTGGAACATTTTGTTTTTATGGAAGTAAAAAATCAGCACTCATGAATCTTCAGGTACAGAAATAGCAGAAGGATAAAGAACTGTTCCACATGGATTTAAGGACCATGTTCAGACAGCAGTCGCAGAAACAACTGTCCTCCTTTATTGCCTTAATAGGAAAACCCCCTGTCGTTTCAAGCTTCACATCCAGATAAAAGCCACAGTGCAAATACATTCAGAATGGTTCAGAAGTCTATAAGAATCACAGTGTAATAGCACAGTATTATACCCATTTTCTTTCAATACAGGCTTCACTGAATCACATTCTATGCAAGAAATATTAGAGAACAGCTTCTTATGTTCCAGTGTATAATGCAGGCTCTTAAATCTGGCACATAAACATCTCTAAGGAACAAAGCATTAAATATGTTTTATTCTGTGAATATAAATCTGTATATTAGGACTCTTTATTCTCTATAGAAGAACTATGTAAATTAGTTCTTCCTTTTCAGCAATCTCATAATAAAGTTTCTAGTGACAAGTTTCAGTGAATGGAAGAAATGTGAACGGAACATGAGAAGCAACGGTAAGGATATTCCCGCCACAGCATGCTTTCAAGTAATTGGATTAGAAAGAGTTATAATAGTGTGGC